CTACATCTAAGCCGTGTAGTCCTTTTCTGCTTTTTACCATTTTGTGTGTTTGGACTTTCTTTTTGGTTTGGTATTTTTAGGCGAACATAACCAAAGAAAGATGTGAGGTCCAAGACAATGACTTTTGTATGTAACTTTGTTTCTCACCTCTGAAACTTGTTTGGTTTCCTTTGAACACCAACACCAGTTACCTATTGAGAAGCATATTAGAATCAAATGGTTGTGTTTCCTACAATAGCTTCCAAGATTCACTTTTCTTTTCTTTCAGTTGCTATGAAAAGAAAAGTAAAAGTTTTAAAAGAACCAACACATAAACAAGATGTTTTTGTTCTGTGGAAAATCCTACTAGTGGGATGATAGTGAGAGAGAGAATGACTAGGTTGTGAAAAAAACCCAGATCTTCTTTCCTATGGAAGCTTCACCTACACGCTCTGTTTCTTCCTCCTCTTCGTTCTCCTCTTCGATCATGCTGAAATTCTCTTCATTGTCTTCATTAAGCTCTCTTATTTCACCGCTGCCTCCTGCTTCCAAATATGGATCTTCGACTTGCCTCTCTCTCGTATTGTTATCCTTGAACTCAGTCTCTGCTTCAACCTGTATCAAAGCCATGGCACGAACTAAATATAATATCCTAAGATTAACATGCCCACATGTTCCACTCAGACGGAAAGAAATAAAATCTGCACAATGCCGGAAAAGAAAGTAATGGAGATAATCTAATTCGATCCAGAAAACATACCCTAGCAATCTTCTCGTGTGTTACAGCCTCTAGTAATACTTCAGCTTTGCCATTTTCAACACACTCATCTTGCGGCGGAGTAAGATTTTCCTTCGGACTTGGCACTGTTCTGATATCACCATTGACACTATCTTGTTTTTCCACGGTAGCTGTTGATGCTTGTGCTTTATCTTCTTCTGTTCCTACACTGAAAGGATTTTCCATAACAAACATAAGTTTCACACACAATTGTCATCCACATTACTTACTGGAATACCCTACAACTCCTTTTTTCAAATAAAAAGAAGTAGGAACTTACTTTCGATGCCTCCTGAGATGATATCGGCTTTGCCCGGGTGTTAGAGATACTGGAACAGCTGTTTGTCTCTTCTTCCTACGTCCACCGGCTGTGATACTGTCTACACCCTCATCGCTATCACCAGCTGTGTGTTCACTTTCTGTGATTTTGGAAGTCTGTTCGCGCTGTCGCTTCCTTGGAATTTCCACATCAGATGGTTTTAAATCTCTAGACGCAGCTTTTGTTGCTCGTGATCTTCCTCTAACAGACTTACCCCTGCCTCTGCCACGTCTAGGTTTATCACTCTGTATCTCTGATTGCAGGGAAACCTCAGGACCTTCTTGTATTCTACTATCTGTGAAACTCTGTTCAGCAGCAGATAGTTCATGACCGTCGCCAGCCCCTATATCCATAGTATCATCAGGTTGTGAAGATTCTGGAAAAACCGTTAAACCCAAATCAATGACTTTCTCTGTCTTTTTAATCGGTGATATGCTCAGTATCTTCGAAGCGATTTTCCCAAGGAAAGATGTTCTGCTATTTTCTGCACTGGGAGAAATGTCAACAGCCTGCTTTGCTTTTAATATCTGTTTTCCGAAAAGTTTGTCCCCATCTTTGACATCAGGTAGTCGAAGATCAGACAGAGCAAAGTTTTTGGTTATTTCACCACAAGAAGTGCAGCTCTTCAGTTTTTCCAGAAATACTAGGAAACGTTCCCTTGCACATATGAATTCGTCTCGTTGCTCCTTCAAAGAGCTTCTAAGTACATCTAGCTCAGTGATGTCCTTATGCATCTCACCTTCTTGTTCTTTCAACAACTTCTTTTGGGCATAAATTTCTTCTCTTTCCCTCTCCAGAGCAAGCTTCTCGTACTGCACTTCTTCCATCTCTCTCTGAGCCAGCTTCTTCGAGTAATTAATATTGGCGAGCTCTTCTTGGCTTCTCTTCTCATATGTTCTCGCCCTTTCATTAAAATCTCTCTCACCCTCTTCCTCTTGCCTCTGCAACTCCATGTCAAGATTTCTTTTTTGCTTCTCAAGATCTTCAACCAACTGACTGGTCTTATTTTTAGCATTTTCATGCAAAGCTAGTTTCTTAGTCTCCATGTCGGCTTCAAATGATTCTTTCTGCATCTTGACACCATCCAACTCTCTCTTCAAATTATCTCTTGAGGTCATCTCTTCTCTCTTCAGCCTATGCTTTTCTGATATTTCAAAACTTCTCAGTTTCTCCTTTTCTTCAGTAACTTCCTTTTGCTGTCTAGTTATGTCAGCCTTCTTCTCATCCAGGGCTGCCCACTCTTTCTCAAATCTTTCCTTATCTTGTTTCAGTTCTTCACGCTCCTTCAAGAGTAACTCCTCCTCTTGCTTACCTCTATCTATCTGCTGCTTTAATTCAGACTGCAGCCTCAGAAACTCAAGTCTCTCTTCTTTTGTAATCCTAAGACTTTCATGTTCTTCGCGGATCCTTGACTCCTGCTTTGTTGTCTCAGCCCCGATCTCTTCAATCTCAACTTTTAGTTTATGCAGAGAATCCTTATCTTCAAGCAATCGCTCGTTTTCCATATGCAGCTTCTTCTCTTCGGCTTTTAGAGCTTTTTCTTTTTCCTTCACAGCTTTTAGCCTTGCTTCAAGA